TATAGTTAGAACGGCTGCCCCACCCTTCAAACCGAAACGCATTACTGCTTCACGGCAGAAATAGGCAGAGTGGTGGTACCTGCCCGTGCGGACTCACAAGAGGTCCTACCACCAGTAAAAATCATAGTTTGAGGCAAACCGGAAAAATTTGATTTTTTTTACACGTTTTATATTAGCTTCACTTGTTTGTATGTTTGTAACTGACTCCTTTAGACGCGATTTTGACCCACTTTAAACGGCCAGATTTCATTCAAACTTTGTAGATTTATCGAGGACCGACGACAATACACTAACTTGATAAGATTATTCCATTATTCAATTTGCAAAATAAGATTTTTGCTAATTTATATAATTTTTATCTATAGTCGATAAGGCAGGAATTGATGTTAAAGTACTTAATAGTTTTAAAAATACGCTTTAATAGAACATATAACTAAAAAATGAAAAATAAATAATAGTTTAAACAAACTAAAAAACACGCTTTATATAAAATTCAACTAAAAAATAGAAAATAAATTTTAATAAATTTAAATTGAAATTAGTGTAAAATATATTTTATTTAAAAAAAAGCATGGTGTGCTTTTTAAAATATTCTTCTACTCATATTTGTCAGAAAAATATAACTAATAACACCATGCACCCCACGCTTTTTTTACAACAAAATATATTTTACACTATTTTATATATAACGGCCGTCTGGTGCAGTGGTAAGTGACATGGTCACTACACAAGGGGGTCGCGGGTTCGAATCCCGCCAAGGGAAGATATTTGTATGATAAATATAAATGTCTTTTCCAGGGTTATGGATGTATATTAAATATATGTATGTGTATAATAAAAATCTTACATTTATATCCGTTATCTGGTACCTGTAACACAAGTTCTTTACGAACTTATCACGGGACCAGTTAACGTGGCGTGATTGTTAGTAAATATTTATATTTTTGGAACCAGGAATCAAAATAACATGACGAGATCGCATATCAGAATAATAAAACACGCAAGGTACTTTGCAAACCTCTACATGATTATATATTACACTGTAGGAACTACCTGCTTTCATATCTAAAACACGATTATATTCGGCTCCCTCCCCTGAGGTCTCTTTGCTTTCCTTACCCAGTTTTATCTTTTAGAGGGAATTCCAATTGAATCGGGGGATATAGATCGCAAATATCTGAGTGGGTAATTTATATTCAGAAACAAGTGTATTTTTTATGTAACTTTTACTTACACATCTCGTAGGTTTGTGTCGATTTTTTTACTATTTGAGTTATTTTAACAATCTGATGCAAGCAAGGGCTTTTGTTTTTTCGGCTCAAAGGGTAGATCAGTCATTCCTCTTAGTCGGACACTCTGGGAAAAGTGGTCGTGGTTACGCTGACGATGTATATGTAGAAGTATTTGTTGAGTCCCCCATCTTCTCGAAGATTGCATTGCTGGCGATACGCTTCCAGATCTGGCGATTCGAAGGGTTTCGAATACATGGACCAAGGTGAACTCAGTTGCCTTCTTTATCTACCCGGTCTTGGATTATCAGTCTCTCTATTAAGTCCTCTTTTCTGGAGATGTGACCAAAGAACTTTAAAACCAGTAGATGTACAGTTTCAGCTCCATAGAGAAAGATTGGAAACATAAGGTTTTTCATCAATCTGACCTTAGTCTTCTTGATAATCATCCTATACATCCAAATCTTTCCCAGCCATTCCAGCGCCGACCTGGTGATGGCACATCGTCTGATCTCATCACCACATCTTCCCTTGCTTGAGATAGTAAAGCCGAGGTAGATGTAGTTCTGTACAACTTTGCAATTAGCTATTTTTATGTATTAGCTAGATTTCACTCCATTTTAAATATAAAAGAAGACTTTTAAATAAAAATTAATTTTTTTTTATTAACTAATAATAATGATATAACAAGAAGCTTATTACCAACTGAAAACAAGGGAGAATAATACCTTAGTCGTCCGTGACTACGAAAACTGCAATGTACCATATTCTTTTTAATACACTGCTGTTTTTGTAAAGTTACAAATAGTGACTTGCTCATACGAATATATGAAAGTTCTAAAGTACTTTTAATTACGCCCTTGACTCGCGACAATCGAACCAAAGACAAAAGCTCAAATAATTTTAATTTGAAATTTATTTAACGTTAATTAATGGAAATTTCCTGCGACTCCCCCTCGCTGTCTCCGGGGAATTTTCGATGGGCAAAAATACGTTTACATAGATAATGTAATCAATAACATCAATCGCCTTTCAACCGTAGCCTATTTCATAAATTACGTTGCAAATTACCTGTTATCCAACGAATTTGTAGACGGTCTGTTTTTTATTACCATGCCTATAGGAAATAACGAAAAAGCTTAGTCGAGTGAAAGCTGGATATGCACCCATGCTTAAAGTCTACACGCGCGTTCCCTATTGCTTTTCTTTCTGTATCATACTGTTATGTCGATTCGAATAAGCTCTGACATTTTGTAGTATCATCA